CCTCTTACCTAACCACTCAGCCAAGACCATTCAGTCCCCTACAACGGAGCAACCTCAGCATCTTTCATCCCAGCCCCGGGGTATTCCTTTTTTTTTTTTCCCCTAATCGAGCCCCCCCTACCCAGTACCTTTCCACTGGGTGGGTAATTCCCCTGGCATCTTTAAGCCAGCCCCCCACCCAGTATCTTCTACCTGGGTGGGAATTTCTCGGTATCTTTCAACCGAGCCCCACTCATTGTCTAGACCATGTGCCCTGGATGTTTCACCGGGGCCCCACCTAGTAACTTTCCTACTGTGAGGGGGCAGGTAACCTGCGTCACCGCCAAGTAAAACTCAGAATCTCAACCAATACGGGAGATTCGAGAACCAGTGGAGTCCAGTCGCAGGAAGGAAGTCCACTCTGGCTCACTTCATCAGTTGCCATAACTGTTGACTAAAAAAAGATGTACAACTTGAGAGCTGTGAGTTAAGCTTTATTCGGGGCTAAATGAGGACTGCAGCCCAGGAGGCAGCATCTCAGATAGCTCTGACAGACTGCTCCAAAGTGGCAGTGGGGAAAAGTCAATATATAAGGTTTTGCTGAAGGGAGTTCAATGCCATGAAGCACTCATTTACAAAAGGTTTGTGTTAGTCATGAGGATCTGATGTCACCAGGAAGGGAATTAGTGCTTCTCTAGATATGAGGAGACGCAAGGATTGAGATCATAAAATCTGTTCCTAAAAACATCCAACTATCTGAAGACCTGTCCCACCAGATTCCCTGGAGCACAGAGTGCCTCACTGCACCCTGAACTCCCTCAGGGATTGTTGAAGGTCAACAGCTATAGCAGCATGGTGTTCCATCTCTGTAGAGGGAGATGGTGAATGCCTTTGTTGTTTAGTCATTGGCAGTGCTCTTGGTAAGTGTCAATTTGTAGTGGACACGATGAAATAGCCTATGAAATTACCCAGCCTTATAAAAACAGACAACCTCACACCCTGGGCCTCTCTCACCTGAGATGGCCCATACTCTGTCTGTGGAATGTGCCTCTGAAAGAATCTACTTCTTAACCATCACTTTTTCTCTCACTGACTCCTTTCTGTGATGAGACATCAGGAAGTTTCCTGAGACCAGGTCTGTGAGCTCAGTTAAAAGGTCTTGGGTTCAAGTTCCAATCTGAGATATATTCATTCCATTTCAAATCCTTGTCCTACCACTTCCTCGGTCTTTTCTTGAACAAGTTACTTGATCTTTGGCCCTCAATTTTCTCATCTGTAAAAATGGTTAATTCTCACTTTTCATGATCATAATTACAGATAATCTATAAAGCAGTTAGCATGGTGCTTGACAGCAAGCTTTTAGTAAAAACTGTCATAATTGCTCTTTTATATTGATATGTCTACTGGTGTAGGTCGCCATTTTATGCAATTCCAATTTTTACCTCCTTCTCTTGAAGTAAGTAAAGATCCAACTATAACCCCTGTTTTGGAATGCAAATTCCTGCGTCCAACACCCAGTGAGGCCAAACAAACTGAAGTGTCAGAGTTTGGAGCAGAGGAAGGTTTTCGGCAGGGCCAAAGATGGAGAACGGATGGTTCACTCTCAAAAGTACCCTGAATTCCTCAATAGCTTTTGGGGAGAAATTTTTATAGACAAAATTTGGGGTGAGGGCTGCAGGATGTGTCAATTTCTTCCGATTGGTTGGTTGTGAAATAATGGTGGTGTTCCAGAAATCTTGTGCTCAGCCTGAAGTTACCATCCTCCACCTGGGTGGGGGGCCTTAGTTCCTTCAGAACTCAAGAGATATTGTTATGTGTATCTGATGAAGGACTAGGACTCTGCTTGGTTGTTGTTGAGTCGCTCAGCCCTGTCCAACTCTTTGAGACCCCATGGACTGCAGCACGCCAGGCCTTCCTGTCCCTCACCATCTCCTGGAGCTTGCTCAAACTCATGTCCATTGAGCCGATGATGCCATCCAACCATCTCGTCCTCTGTTGTCCCCTTCTCCTCCTGCCCTCAGTCTTTCCCAGCATCAGGGTCTTTTCCAATGAGAAGGCTCTTCGCATCAGGTGGCCAAAGGATTGGATCTTCAGCTCCAACATCAGTCCTTTCAATGAATATTCAGGGTTGATGTCCTTTAGGATTGATTGGTTTGATCTCCTTGCTGTCCAAGGGACTCTCAAGGGTCTTCTCCAACACCACAGTTCAAAAGCGTCAATTCTTCGGCGCTCAGCCTTCTTTTTGGTCCAACTCTCACATCCATACGTGACTACTGGAAAAAAACCATAGCTTTGACTAGATGGACCTTTGTTGGCAAAGTAATGTCTCTGCTTTTCTATATGTTGTCTAGGTTTGTCATAGCTTTTCTTCCGAGGACTCTGCTTTATGGATGTTCTATTGTTTCCTAACTGCTCTTCCTTTGTTTCTGCATTCCCTCACTTCCCTGATTAGCTGGTTGAATCTGCCCTCTGGGACTCATGGAAGGTCTCAGGGGATTCCCCAGTGGCTTAGAATCAGCCTGCCAAGCAGGAGACGAGGTTCGATCCCTGGGTCGAGAAGACCCCCTGGAAAAGGAAATGACAACCTATTCCAGTATTCTTGCCTGAAAGCCCATGGACAGAAAAGCCTGGAGGGGTTGCAAAGAGTCAGACATGACTGAGCACACCAAAGGCCTACTACGTCATTCTTTTAAAGATGGTGCTCTTCCCCTCCCTCCTGTCTCAGATCCACTGTGAGTCAGGAGCCAAGATGAAGTAGGTTTCTTGCTCAGAGCACACCTATTAATAGCTACCCTTGCCATGGTTGTATTTGTGAGACTTGTGTTTTTCAGTTTGGGTCTGAGCAAGAGGAACAAAACACTTGGAGCAGGTTCAGTGCTCAGGGGATTTTGCTGGTGATGGATCAGAATGCAAGTGCTTCTAGAGTTGAAGAAAGAATATGGGGTGAAACTAGGCCAGTTGCTCCCACATTTCTTTTTACCATAAACCATAGTACAAAATACAGTATACACATATATAATGGAAATAAAAATTTTATGTGAGCAATACTTGCCCTCACTAAATGCAACACATTGCTATTCTATTTTATCCTCTTCTGTGCCATTCTGTTGCATTTTATTCTCTTTTCTTCTATTTAATTTTTAATATCCTGTTTGAAAGTCACTAAATTGACTTCACAGCCCATTACTGGGTTCCAGTATGTGGTTTGAAAACACTGGGTTAGGAGCCATGTGAGTTTGAGAATTGGAGTAAAGAGAGGTGACTCGGGATTCTTGGCTTCAGACACAACAGAGATGGAGGGTGTATTATTTTGCTAGGGCTGCCATAACAAGGTATGACAGAGTGGGTGGCTTAAACAACAGAAATACATTTTCTCACAGTTCTGGAGTCTGGAAGTCCAAGCTCAAGGTGCTGGCAGAGTTGGTTTCTCCTGAGGCCTCTCTCCGTGCCTTGTGGATGGCCACACTTGCTGCCTCTTCACATGATGGCTCCTCTGGTGTCTCTGCCTCTTTATAAAGACAGGAGCCTTCCTGGGGTAGAAGCCTGCCCTAAAGGCATTATTTTAACTTAACTGCCTCTTTAAAGACCTTATTTCCAAATATGGTCACATTCTGATATACCAGGGGTCAGGACTTCAACACATGAATTTCAGGGGGACATGATTCAACCCAAAACAGAGAGAGGGCATGAGGATATAAGCCCTGCTACGGTCTTTCCATAGTATGAAAAGGCGAAAAGCTAGGAAACTGAAAGATGAACTCCCCAGGTCGGTAGGTGCCCAATATGCTACTGGGTAATAGTGGAGAAATAACTCCAGAGAGAATGAAGAGATGGAGCCAAAGCAAAAGGGAGTTGGTGATGCACAGGGAAGCCTGGCGTGCTGCAGTCCATGGGGTCGCAAAGAGTCAGACACAACTGAGCAACTGAACAACAACGGCATGTTTAAAGAATTAAAGAAATGTATCTGGAGAAGGAAATGGCAACCCACTCCAGTATTCTTGCCTGGAGAATCCCATGGACAGAGGAGCCTGGTGGGCTACAGTCCACGGGGTCGCAAAGAGTCGGATACAACTGAGACTTCACTTTCACTTTCACTTTCACCCCTCAGCTGAGAAGACTTTCAGGTCTTGTGTTTGCTATTGATTGTTTTCTTGAGTTCTCAAAGACCTGTGACCGTATTTCTTTTAAGTTGCCTGTTTTCTAATTGCATCACTTTACACACTGTTGTCTAATAATATGTGGTATTTAGAATGCCTTCTGAATTATTTTGAGCAGCCATTGTCTGTATTTTCTTAGCACCTCCTTGGTTTTCTTACATGAACTCATCTGACAGGGAAGTGCAGCTTTTTTGTTTGCCCTCTGCATACTGGGCCATCTGAGTCAGTGTTCTAACTGATCTCTGATGGTCTCTGAGCTACTGTTCTACCAGACTCAGTAGTTATGTGTCTCAGGAATTTCTCGGTAGAATTGGTCCTATTAGGAGACCCTTGGTGTCACCTTTGTTATCTTAAAAGCTGGTCCCTTTGCTGAGGCTCTTAATTTTTTGAAAACTTGATGCTATTTCAGCTGAAAACAATTGGCAAGACTACTTAAAAAGTTGAGGGAAGCCATTTAAGAAATTGAAAACTAATCGCAAACAACATTGGGTAGTTGTGACTTTCAGTTCTGTATCAGTTGCAGTATACATTGCAGGCAGATTCTTTACCAGCTGAGCCGCAAGGGAAGCCCTTAGTAACTAAAGTATGTGTTAAAACTAGTATACAACTAAATCAAATAGAACTATTTTAAAGAAATAATTTGGAGGGTTAAGCAAACTATGACCTATTTTACACCTATAGAACTAAAATAACCTTATGTGTGCTATCACCTCTTTTAATGCAACACTGTACAAACCGCATGCAAACACTATCCCAATCTACACGCCTTCTCTCTATGGGTTTTCGTCCTTGACAAAGTTGAGAACACAAAGCATTCCTTACACTTGCTGCCAAAGAACTCCCTGAAGGTGTGTGTATCTCGCCTTAACTGATGGACTTAAACTTGATCCACTGGCTTGCGCCCCGGACTTCAAAAGGTGGATCGTTGCAGTAGATGTGATAGCCGAGCTCTTCCAAAGGCGGTTCCGGACCAGCAGTAGCGAACTGAGCAGCATCCTCAATGTCTTTTCTCACTTCCACATCGATTTCCTAAAAATCAGATTACAGTTCAAGAGATTTGTTTGAAGATACACCTCTTAGGTACCAAGTAGTTTGACTCTTCTACTAGTACTAGAAGTGTACTTAAGGTGCTATTATGGTAAAAATAACAACGATCTAGAAAGAAATACTCTGAAGCAGAGACAGAAACATACACCCTGGCGAGGGAACATTTAAAAGCCTCTAGTGTATTTACAGGAAAGAAGTGTGCTATTGGAGTTTAAAAGCTTCATCAATATGACTGAGGAATGCCCTGTGAGAATACCGTGTGTATTTTCCCTTTTACTCACCTAGTTCACCTAAGAGTGGCAGCTTTTTGTGTAGAGAAAAACTGCTCAAAATTTGAGCGAGGCAACTGTTGAAAGCCCTTGGAGTAAGTGTACCTTTAATTCTTCAACACTGGCGAGATTGCTGTTCACCATCCTGTCCTTGAGGAGCATGATAGGGTCACTCTTACTTCTAACTTCCTGAATCTCTTCTCGGGTCCGGTAACTGGGGAGGGAACCAGAGTGACAAGTAAGAACAGTTCCAGTAGAGCAGATGGTCTGTGAAACACAGCACCACATCAATACTTAGGTCTCCGTAGGAAGGGCAGAATTATACTTCAAAATACAAGAACGCATCCTAACATTCTGTAAGAGCTGCTCTGTCTAAACTCTGCAGTGGCAATTCTCTGGGCTTCTCTGGCATTCTGACAACAGGAGCCCAGGTGCTGTCTACTTCTTTAATCTAGATGTAGGGCATGAAGGTAGTGATAGAGGCTCTAAGTGGGTGAAGCCAGGGGAGATGGTTTTCTGGGGTGATAGCTGTAACCTTGGAGGCGGGAGAATGCTAACCCGGAAAAAAGTGCGCCTTCCCTTTCTCCTTTAAGACCCCAGAGCAGCATGGCTGGCAAAAACCTGGAGAGGAGGTTTTCCAATTCTTGAATGTATAGTTGATCCTTGTCCTACATTATCTGAAGTAATACTAAAAGCAAAGGCTCTACCATTGTTTTTTAAACAGCAGAATTACACAAAGTGCTTTTTCCCATAAAAGTCGTTCTTCATAGCACTTTCCCTTAGACCTTTAGCCGACACTCTTAAAGACTTCTTACGGCTTGCTTTATCTAAATCTACTCTTTAATTATGCCACACCCCAGGACTGTAGCATTTCATGTTGGAGTTAGGACTTTTGTCACTATATTTTTTTGACACATCTATTTCAACACATGGAATATCCCTTCTGCTACCTGGTCTTGCACCATACCAGCCAGAAGAACATTTTCAAATGGAGGAATATGCCCTGGGAGCATCTGAGGCAATGCCTACAAAAGGTAAGTGCTCCCAACTATACTACTGTTACCATCAGACCTGCTTTAGGTAACAATTCCTCACAATTCCTTCCTACAATTGTTTTTTTATTGGTACTCATGTTAACATGTACACAATACGTAGTGTACAAGTTTCCAGAATGCTTTCTAGATTGGAACCAACTTATTATAAAGCACTGTTTTCAGGCTCAGGCTAAACTACTAAATCAGTGCATGAAGCCAACTGGTGTCTGGATTCAAAAGTACATTTTGAAATGCTCTTGCTTTTTCATGTAAGTAGTACCACTCTAAGCCCATCTACTCTGGACACCACGCACTGTTTTTCCTTTACCCTACCTCACTCCAGGGTCACTCATGCTGTGTCCATGGTAACGGTAAGTCTGCAGCTCCATCAGTATAGGCCCCTAAAACAGAACCCAGTGGAGGTTAGGTGAGACAATGGTCATAGCCTCAAATATACACCCTATCAACTACTCTGATCAGATCTGAGTTGGCAAGAATTTCTTCTAAGTTGACTGACTCAGTTATCTCTTCTCATTTCTAATACCTATTTACAGCATCTTTCATCCTCCCTATTTTTAAGAGGGACTTATTATCTTAGGGGTCTGCTTTCTGGGTTGTGGAACAGTGATTTAGGGAGAACATCCTCCCACCAGTTCAAATAGCAGGTAAGCCTCTCTTTACGCCCATCTCACTGTTCCCTTCTCCCTCCACTGCTGTAACTGGAAAGGTCAAGATCCTTAGGACTAAAACAATAAGACTACATAATTTAAACATTAATCTATAGAAAACAAACTTATACTGAATGCCTATTATCTAAGCACAGTGCTGTGCTGGGCACTGTGGGAGTCCCTAATCTCTTCACTCAAGGGGCTTATCATTAAGGTGGGGTGGGGGGGTGTGGAGGCACATAATGAACCAAAAGGCAAAATAGATTGTCACAACAAAGACAGAGGTAGAATGCTGAGGGAACACTGGAAGAAAAGATTTACCCCAAATGGGGGAAACATGGAATGTTTCCTAGGATGTGAGCTACCAAGACCATGTTATTTATAAAGGGACCCGACTGACTCAAGTGGATCCTGCTTCTATCTTATACACCTCAATTAGCAGCTACCCCTAAATTGCCACAATGGACACAGGAGGCACTTCTTCCAACTTTAAGACAGATAAATGCCATTAGAAATCTCTAGCTTAGAGGCCAAAAAAAAAAAAAAATCGTACCTTTCCAGATCTACAATAGGCAGCTGCAAATTTTGTGGCCTCCCGGACACACAGGATATCCATTCCATCTACCTGCCAATAAGTAGGAAAGATTTCAACACAACATTGTAAATCAACCATACTTCATAAAAGTTCAAAGATAAAAAGGGGAGAGCTTAACTCCAACTGCCTAAAATAGTTTTCTTTTCCTGTGACCTGTTCATCCGCTTAAGAAAATAGAACCCTTCCTGTGATGTGAGCCATTGGGCCAAGAGTGCCGCCCCAGCTCTACCACAGGTGTCCTTACCCTCAGCCCAGGAATAAAGTCGCCTCTCTTGTAGTAATCAGTGCTGGCTGCTGCTCTCTCCACAGATGTTCCCATCCCATAGCGGTTATTCTCACAGATGAAAATACAAGGCAATTTCCACAAAGCTGCCATATTGTAAGCTTTGAATATCTGACCTTGGAAGTACAAATAAAAAGTTCAAGTGGTTTCATTGTGCTGTTTTTCTCTCAACTTCATCATCCCCCAAAGCCACTGCTCTACCCAGCAAGAGAAAGCCCTCAGATGAAATGCCTCACCTACAACCCAGATTCTGAGGCAAAGAAGTGTGTGTGTGTGAGGGGGGTGGTACAGCAAACTCATCTTTTTCTGCACCTAAGGAAGTGACAAACCAAATACTTCTACTTGCTTCTGTGGCTTGCTCAAGGGCAGGATTCATATAATAACAATGTATCTTGCTCAAGAACATGTTTCTCCTGGTAACAGGAACTTTCTACTGATCTTATGTGGGAGTGGGGCTGGTGAAAGTGAACATGGCTCAGTCCTGTCCGACTCTTTGCGACCCCGTGGACTGTAGCCCACCAGGCTCCTCCGTCCATGGAATTCTCCAGGCAACATATTAAAAAGCAGAAACATTACTTTTCTGACAAAGGTCCATCTAGTCAAAGCTATGGTTTTTCCTTAAGTCATGTATGGATGTGAGAGCTGGACCAAAAAGAAGTCTGAGTGCCAAAGAACTGATGCTTTTGAACTATGGTGTTGGAGAAGACTCTTGAGAGTCCCTTGGACTGCAAGGAGATCACACCAGTCCATCCTAAAGAAAATCAGTCCTGGGTGTTCATTGGAAGGACAGACGCTGAAGCTGAAGCTCCAATACTTTGGCCACCTGATGCAAAGAGCTGACTCATTAGAAAAGGCCCTGATGCTGGGAAAGACTGAAGGCAGGAGGAGAAGGGGATGGCACAGGATGAGATGGTTGGATGGCATCACTGTCTCAATGGACATGAGTTTGAGTAAGCTCCAGGAGTTGGTGATGGACAGGGAGGCCTGGCGTGCTGCAGTCCATGGGGTCGCAAAGACTCAGACAGACTGAGTGACTAAACAACAACAATGCATTTCCATTATAGAGGGTGTTATGTAGGGCTGAGGGTCTGAAGTGGTTAGGAAAAGCTGAGGAAAAGCCTTTCAGATGTGATCTGCTAGCTGAGCTCTGCTGGGTAACCAGCTGAGCTGAGGCAATTAGAGGGCATGCCTGAGGCAGTCCTAGGTCACATCACAGATGCTTTTGAGAAATGGAAATGAGATTGGCAGTAGATCATCCTGGCCCTTTTAAATTCACTGAAGATTTAGACATTTGTCTGAAGAACACTGAGAAGCCAAAGAAGGATATTACCTTTAGCTTTGCATTTTGTATATACGGAAGATAGGTGTATGTACTCATGGCATGACTCCAAGGGAAAGTCATTGAAAGAAGACCCATAGTGTTTTCTTGGAAGCATGGGTTTCCTGAAATATGGCAAAATGTGTGAATAATGGAGGGCTGGAAGGACTGATGCTGAAGCTGAAACTCCAATACTTTGGTTACCTGATGGGAAGAACTGACTCACTGGAAAAGACCCTGATGCTGGGAAAGATTGAGGGCAGGAAGAGAAGGGGATAACAGAGGATGAGATGGTTGGATGGCATCACTGACTCGATGGACATGAGTTTAAGCAAGCTCTGGGAGTTGGTGATGGACAGGGAGGCCTGGCGTGCTGCAGCCCATGGGGTCACAGAGAGTCAGACATGACTGAGTGACTGAACTGATTGATGATCATCTCTTTCTTGTAGCCAATGTAGAAATGTTAAAAAAAAAAAAAAGAATTATAAACTCTTCCCTATTGAAATGTGGGTGTGCTCCAGTAGAAGAGAATTTCAGGATGAAATGCTGGGACCACTAGATCTGTAGTTCAACCATGGCGATGCCTTTGACTTATCCTGTGTGGCCTGATAAGAGTAGGGCAAGCCTTTTCTTCCATCTGCGGTTCTATGGGTTGGTTTTCACTAAACCATGTATTGCATCACATGGCACATTCTTTAAGTCTGGCTGCGTTTTCCCATCACGCAGACCATGTCTGATTAGTGTGACCTTAAGTTTGTTGTTGTTCAGTCGCCAAGTCATGTCCAACTCTTTGCAACCCCATGGACTCCAGCACGCCAGGTTTCCCTGTCCTTCAGTATCTCCTGGAGTTTGCTCAGATTCATGTCCATTGAGTCTGTGAAGCCATACAACCATCTCATTCTCTCTTGCCCACTTCTCCTCCTGCCCTCTATTTTTCCCAGCATTAGGGCCTTTCCCAGTGACTCAGTTCTTTGCATCAGGTGGCCAGCGTTTTGGAGCTTTGGCTTCAGCATCAGTCCGTCCAAGGAATATTCAGAGTTGATTTCCTTTAGGATTGACTGGTTTGATCTTGCTGTCCAAGGGACTCTCAAGAGTCTTCACCAGCACCACAATTCAAAAGCATGAATTCTTTGGTGCTCCAACTCTCACATCCATACATGACTTCTGGAAAAACCATAGCTTTGACTAGATGGACCTTTGTTGGCAAAGTAAGGTCTCTGGATTTTAGTATGGTGTCTAGGTTTGTCATCCCCTTCATGTCTAGGTTTGCCGCAGCATTGTCATGGCAAAGGGGCTTGCATAACTCAATGACGCTATGAGCCATGTGGTGCAGGACCATGCAAGACAGACAGGTCATAGTGGAGAGTTCTGACAAAACGTGGTCCACGGGAGGAGGGGATGGCAAACCACTCCAGTATTCTTGCTGTGGGAACACCATGACAGTATGATAAAAGATATGACACTGGAAGATGAGCACCCCAGGTTGGAAGGTGTCCAATATGCTGCTGAGGAAGAGTAGAGGGAAATTACTAATAGCTCCAGAAAGGATGAAGCAGCTGGGCCAAAGCAGAAATGACACTCAGCTGTGGATGTGTTTGGTGGTGAAGGTAAAATCCAGTGCCAGAAAGAACAATATTACATAGGAACCTGGAATGTTAGGTCCATGAATCAAGGTAAATTGGACATGGTCAAGCAAGAAATGGCAAGGTTGAACATCTTGGGAATCAGTGAACTAAAATGCACAGGAGTGGGAAAATTTAACTCAGATGACCATTATGTATACTAGAGTCAAGAATCCTTTAGAAGAAATGGAGTAGCCCTGATAGTCAACAGGAGAGTCTAAAATGCAGTACTTGGGTGCAATCTCAAAAACAACAGAGGGATCTCGGTTCATTTCCAAGGCAAACCATTCAACATCACAGTACTCTAAGTCAATGCCTCAACTACAGATGCCAAAGAAACTGAAGTTGATCGGTTCTATGAAGACCTATGAGACATTGCATAGTTAACATCAGAAAAACATCCTTTTCATGATAGGGGACTGGAATGCAAAAGGAGGAAGTCAAAAGATACCTGGAGTAACAGGCAAGTTTGGCCTTGGAGTACAAAATGAAGCAGGGCAAAGGCTAACAGAGTTTTGCCAAGAGAACACACTGGTCATAGCAAACACCCTCTTCCAACAACAAAGGAGATGACTCTACACATGGTCATCACCAGGTGGTCAATACAAAAACCAGATTGATTATATTCTTTGCAGTCAAAGATGGAGACGCTCTATACGGTCAGTAAAAACAAGATGTGGAGCTGACTGTGGCTCAGATCAACAGCTCCTTATTGCAACATGCAGCCTTAAACTGAAGAAAGTAGGGAAAACCACTAGGCCATTCAGGTACGAACTAAATCTAATCCCTTATGATTACACAGTGGAGGTGACAAAGAGATTCAAGAGATTAGATCTGCTAGACAGACTGCCTGAAGAGCATCTCAAAGACAAAGAAATGCAAGAAGGCAAAGTGGTTGTCTGAGGAGGCCTTACACATAGCTGAGGAAAAAAGAGAAGCATAAAGCAAGGGAGAAAGGGAAAGATACACCCAACTGAATGCAGATTTCCAGAGAACAGCAAGGAGAGATAAGAATCCTTTCTTCAGTGAAGAGTGCAAAGAAATAGAGGGAAACAATAGAGTGGGAAAGACCAGAGATCTCTTCAAGAAAATTAGAGACACCAAGGGAACATTTCATGCAAGGATGGGCACAATAAAGGACAGAACCGGTAAGGACCTAACAGCAGCAGAAGAGATTAAGAAGAGGTGGCAAGAATACAGAGGAGAACTGTACAAAAAAGGTTTTAATGAGCTGGATAACCATGATGCATGTGGTCACTCACCTACAGCCAGACATCCTACAGTGTGAGGTCAAGTGGGCCTTAGGAAGCCTTACTACAGACAAAGCTGGTCGAGGTGATGGGATTCCAGTTGAACTAGTTAGAATCCTAAAAGTTGATGCTGTGAAATTGCTGCACTCAACATGTCAGCAAATTTGGAAAACTCAGCAGTGGCCACAGGACTGGAAAAGGTCAGTTTTCATTCCAATCCCAAAGAAGAGCAATGCCAAAGAATGTTCAAACTACCATACAATAGTGCTCATTTCACATGGTAGTAAGGTTATGTTCAAGATCCTTCAAGCTAGAATTCAACAGTATGTGAACCAAGAACTTTCAGATGTTCAACACTGGGTTTAGAAAAGGCAGAAGAACCAGAGATCAAATTGCCAACATTTGCTGAATCATAGAGAAAGCAAGCACATTCCAGAAAAAAATCTACTTCTGCTTCATTGACTATGCTAACACCTTTGACTGTGTGGATCACAATAAACCACGGACATTTCTTAAAGAGATGGGAATACCAGACCACCTTACCTGTCTCCTGAGAAACTTGGAGGCAGGTCAAGAAGCAACAGTTAGAATCTTACATGGAACAACGGACTGCTTCCAAATTGGGAAAGAAGTACAACAAGGCTGTATACTGTCACCCTGCTTATTTAATTTCTATGCAGAGTACATCATGTGAAATGCTGGGCTGGATGAATGACAAGCTGGAATCAAGACTCGGGGGAGAAATATCAACAATCTCAGATATGCAGATGATACCACTCTAACAGCAGAAGGTGAAGAGGAACTAAAGAGCCTCTTGATGAGGGTCAAAGAGGACAGTGAAAAGTTGGCTTGAAACTCAACATTCAAGAAACTAAGATAATGGCATCCAGTCTTATCACTTCA